TGAAAGTGATGTCGAAAGTCTGTCATTTCCGGTCGGTCGCCCGGACCCATGCGGCTCAGGGACGCTACAAAGGGGCAAAATGGATGGAATCGAGGATTTAAACAGTAGAAAACTCGCATCTAGCATTGCCAGAAAAGACAAGGGAGCCCGGAATGACCGTTTCTGGCTCATTAGCCATCATCAGCCGGTCATACCCAATCCTAAGTGGTAGCCTACCCGAGGCTCGAACCTGCGACCTTTTGATCAGAAGTCTAAAGCTCTAACTATTGGGCCATCTGCCTAGACTATTAGCCGTTGTACGGCTGCTTGTGGGGCTCGAGAATGAGCCCCAAGGCACAGCGAGACGAGTGAGCTCCGTTAGCGGTCGGTGAACGTTAATCAACGAGTGTCAAATGCGTATTTTTAGCAGCTAATAAGCATATATTTGGTTCTCCGATGAGGAAGCAACGAACGCTCCTTTGTAGATGCAGGCTTGAAGGAAAAGGGGGCAACCCACTAGCAGAGCGTAGGCCAAAGTCATTTGGAATAATACTGCGACATGCTTGCGGGGGTAATATATCACGTCTCATATGGGTTGATAATTCGGTAATTGTATAAACGAGCAAAAACTGGCCATCCATAGGCATGCCCCCTCTTTTTCTTGTTCCGCATTGCAGTGGACAGAAAAATTGGTCCGTATTCAATGCCAAAGAACAATCCCGAAGTACTGCTTTTGCTTTTATTTTTACCATTATATCCTCTTAACCTACCTCCACTAGTTATGACTCGTTATAAATGGCTTCAACCAAGTGAGTGTCTCAAGTAACGAGCGAGCCACTAGTAGAACATTTGTTTCGATTGAGGAGCTTCCACTTAGTTAAGGGGTTGTCAGTGCGTGTGAGGACCTGTGTCCACAGTCGAGGTTTGCTTCAAAGGCGTGGTTCCTCATTCGCTTGCAGGCTATCCGTGAACTGTGCTACAAGAAGAGCTCGGTGCCGGAGGGGATAAAACTCGTTAACCGAGGCCTTAGTGTAATACAGTATGTCCTGGTTTAAAAAAGTAGGCCTCGGTTAGGAAAAAACTCATAAAACAAATGGTCCTCTCTCGAATGCTGCTAGACTTCAAAAAAACGCAGCGGGTATTTTAAATTACTTGTTTTTGTGCGAGATTCATGACATTTCATGACTTGCATAATCTATTATACGTAAAAATCCAAAAAAGCTGGGTTCACAGGAGTTAAATTTTTTGTTATCAAACTGTATGGGGCAAACTATGCTCAGGACCTACCAGGAGCCTGAGAAGTGACCTCGGTCGCCGGTGAAAG